GCACCCTTTGGCTTTCAAAGCTAGCCCTTCATCTCCTGGCCCAATTCCTTCTCTTTCCCTTCTCCCAGGCTTCCCTTCATATTTTCACAAGAAGCAGAACAAGTATGGCTCTGTCGGATCCCAGTTACCCTTGCCTTGAGCTTGAATATAGGCAGGCAGAGTTTGGGAGAGTGAAGTTCAAGGGTCTGGGAGCTTTGGTAAAAATTTTTAATAGAGTCAAAGCTCTAATATTAATCCCAGTAATTTCAAATTTGTAATAACTCAGAGGGCTGGCTTGAAAGTTACCTTTGTTCAGCAATGTATTCAAAAAAAACTTTATTATGGAAACTGTTAAATATGTGCAAAAATAGTGAGAATAGTGTAATGAACCTCCATGTACCCATCACCCAACTTCAACATTTATTACCATTTTGCCCATATTAGCAAAATGTTTCTTCATGCAGAGTTTCATCTTGGTTTCATATAGGACTGTTTAATGCCCTTAAGACTTTAAACTATCTTAAGAAACTGTAAATACTTTAGTATTTACATAGCAGTAACTGATCTATCAATTACAAGTAATTCCTAATTGTTCATTAGATAGGTCTCTTGGGGTCATTCTGGAACAACACTTCCTTAAAGCATTTTGAGTCCAGCTCAAGTTGTTTTTCTTTGAGAGTAATAAAACTGCGTTTCTTTTAAATGTTCCTATTTGGATTTTCCCCTGGTTCACACTGACCTTATCCTTACCATCTTCCCTAGGTAATAGCAATTACCAAAGAGGGCTGATAAATTTAAGGAAAAAGGTGTTTGCAGCCCTGAGTTTTGTGTAATAGCTGAGCTCTTCCTGTGGAGGCACAAAATCACTTAAGGCCAGCATTTCAGGCTGGATCACAGGAGGCCATTGGCGTGTTTGTCCATGAATAAACAAAGAGGATTATGAATAGGACCTAAATGAAATAGTGATTGTCCATTAGCCCTCTGAGAAAGGACTGAGTCAGGCTGCCCAAAGGGCATAAAATCAATTTGGGTTTGTTGGAGTGGATGATTCACTTCCAAGCTGCTTAGATGAACAACATTATTATTTCTCTGCCATCAGCCAGGCTTATTATGCTTTGTGTGAAGCAAGACTATTATGTTTGAAAGCACTTGAAAGTGCTTGAAGCTTTCCAAGCTCCTAAAAATGCATACACAACCTGGTATAAGTGCTTGGTCTATCTGAGAGCTATTAACTCTGCCTATAGAAGAGAAAATGTCACCTCCCATCTTTTGCTTCATTAGCAAAGTGGCAGAAATAAACTAGGCAAACAAAGCATTTTATCAATTCATTTGATTTTTCCAGAGTTCCACTCTCTCTGGCTATCATAGGCTGCTGTATCACATTTCTAATAGAGTCAGTTTCCCTAAGCCTGCATAAACGATGAGAGAACTGTGGTGTTCCCCTGTCCCTCTTGAAGGAGGAACTTTGGGTTAATCATAATACTTGACTGTGAAACCCATCTACAAATCTCAGGGGGAAAGTCTGCTTCCCATGGGCCCTGGGTATGATGGGATATATAATTGGTGCCTCTGGGGTCTGAGTTAGTGCAGCTGCAAATCAATTAAGCTCAACACTTTCAAAACCATTTTCTCTCATGCAGGTGAAAAAGAATCCCAAGTGTGATGTGACTTTGAAGGAAAAAACATCTGTGTAAATTGGATCTTGGAGGGTCCTCTAAGACCATTATTTTGTGGAGATAAATTATTCTGTCATTGCTCCCTACCATCTCATCCTTTCCCTTGTTTGGTACTGGCTGAATGTGGAACTAAGACAAGGCTATCAATCAGAGACATGTAATTCCCTTCTGTTTGAATGTGTAAGTCTCGAGATAAAGAGCAATACTCAACTGGAATGCTTGCAGGTTTCTTTCTTTCATTTTTTTTTTCTTTGAAAGAGTTTGACTAGTAATGACTGTTGGATTCAAAGCCATGTTTTACAGTATCTCTCTGTTCAGATTTCTTTTTTTCTTTCTTTCTTTCTTTTTTTTTGATAAGTAAGAAGTGGACTTATTTAGACAGAAACACACTCCACAGACAGAGTGTGGGCCCTCTCAGAAGGCGAGAGGCCCAGAAATGTGGCGTGGTAAGTTTTTATGGGCTGGGTAATTCCATACGCTAATGAGTGGGAGGATTATTCCAACTATTTCAGGGAAGTGGTGGGAATTTCCAGGAATTGGACCACTGCCCACTTTTTGGCCTTTTATGGTTAGCCTCTGAACTGTCATGGCACCTGTGGGTGTGTCATTTAGCATATGCTAATGTATTACAACGAGCATATAATGAGGCTCAAGGTCTACTGGAAGTCAAATCTTCTGCCATCTTGGACCTAGTTGGTTCTAACCAGTTTTTGTCGTGTCCTACGGCTGTCATTCTTTTAAAGGTTGTGCCCTGCCCCCTTCCCTCCTGTTTCATTCCCCCCTCAGAGATTTTACTCCCGTATTCTTAAGGGAGGCAGAGGGGTGAAAGTCCATCTTCTGTAACTGCTTCCAGGCTGAGTAGGGGCATAGACCCTGCTTGTCAGGGAGTAAAAATATGTGGATGCCTGATCTAGGGGCCCCTGGGGCATGACAGCTCCTTGTTTCAAGTCGGTATGGGCTGGATTCCTTGCATGGCCATCATCTTGATGTGGAACTGTTGTACGTTCAGATTTCTTGATGGGCTTCATCATTTTGATCATTTTGATGTGGCAATTGTTCCCCATCTTCAAAAGATATTTTTAGGTACCTAGGCCCAGACACTTCTTATTTCAGGAACTGGAAAGGGAGGGGGAAAACATATTGGGAATGTGATGGTCCTGAGCTTTTATTTTTCGGGTCTGAGATTCTCTTCTACTTCCTTCTCTCCGTTTTCTGGCAACCTCCAAAGGGTGGCTGGGACCCACGGGAGGAGGATCAGGCCAGGCGTCATTCCTGTACTTCTTTGTTTGCCCATGTCAAGTGCTGTCTGTGGCCCACAGGGTGCCTTCTACTTCTCCTCCGCTGCTGTACAGGATGAATCAACATTTCCCCATCCATCCCATCACGTGACACAGCCCCGCTGAAGTGAGAGAGAGTCTTGGGAATTGCACTTGTAAATTTATATTCTGTAACAGCCTCAGTGCATCAGTGTACATTAGCTGATGTATGGTCTATTGGTGGTGGTGGAGGAATACCCCTAAAGGAAGGGATGTTTCTTTTAACATCAGGGCCTCTCTCATTCTTTACATATTGTGCTTCAGTATAAATGAATAGGGTTGTTCCCAAAGAGAGCAATCCAACACAGTTGTCTTGTTTTTCCTCCAAGCTGGAGGTAGGTATTGGTATTTGTTTATGTTGGGGGTGTGGGATGAGGGAGGAATGTAAGGAAATCTGGAAGTTCCTTTAATGAAATCCAACCCATTTATTTTCCAGGGTTAGTACTGGAGGGAGGATTTCCATGTGGGGTGGGCCACCTGGGTCTTAGCACCCTCAATTTTCTTTCTCTTAGGAGAGCTTTAACTCTCTTAGGATCTCTCTTGTTCCTACATTGACCTGAATCTTAGTTCTCAAAAGTGGTTGAGAAGCCTGGATTGCAGTTTCAGTGCTCTCATTAACTACCCATTAGGCCCTGGGTAGCTTCCTCTTCCTCTTCCTCAGATGAGCAATCTGTAAAATTAAGGAGTTGACATAGATTCCAGACCTCTAAGATTCCTCCAAGCTTTCTGGCTCTGGCTGTCTGGTTCTAAATTCATGAGTCTTCTGATTATGTCCCATGGAGGGCATCATTGAGTCCCCAGAGACTGGTGCAACCGGTATTCTGTATCATTCATGCAAACAGTAAGGCCTTTTGAGCTTGTTTTCTCTATTTTGGGGTTGTAAGATATAATAAGCAGAACTAATTATTTCAGGTCCCTAACTGTAAACTTAGTTTCCTAAATGAAGAACAAACAACCAAGTTTTGGAGGAAAAGGGGAAAAGCACTGGGGCCTAATAGTGTGAATCTGATTCCTTGGGGAATGGCATCCCAAGGGAAATGTCTAAACCCAGCACTGAAATGAACAGGAGCTCAGAAATCACTGTGCTTTCCTTCTGGGACTGAATGGCTCTACCTCCAGGAAGTCCTGGGAAGAGGGAGTCCTCATCCTGGGCACATCAGGGTGTTACCCCGTGAAACCATTGTTCTGCCATAGTAGTTGTGGAGTAAGTGGAATTGCGTTGGGAAAGACAGGCTAGGAAACATTGAGTGAGTGGCACCTTCCTTTGTGCTTCCACAGCACACTTTATGTTCAACCTTTTTCCTTGGTGTTATTGGGTGGATAGGTCTCCCTTGAGTCCCTCACGAGCTCCTAGAGTTCCTAGAACATGAGTGAGTGTTGCAGGCACCTCTGTAACTCCAGCATCCCACACAGGACCTGGCACACGGTGGGTGTTCAATGAGTCTCTTCTGAAACACTCTGATTTGGCAAGCTGGCATCCCACGGCTCCCACAGCACCCTGCCCTGCCTTTCATCTGTGAGAGTATGGATCACACTGTATTCTAGGTGCCAACTGACTTACATCTCTGCTCCACTACCTTGAGGAGATATTATATATCACTTTGGTTCATATCCATTGGACAAAAATCAATCATATGAATACAGCTAACTATAGGGGATATAGTAAATATGGTCTAGATGTATGCCCAGGAAGAAAAGGAAACGTATTTTCATGAACACATAATATTTATAACAAGTACCTCCAGGGAGACCACTAGAAAGCTAAACCATTCCTTCTATTCCTGTCTTACTCTACTGGTGCAACAGAGCCACTGGGGAACAGATACTTCGTTTCCCACTTCTGTCATCTTTTGAGATGTGCCCTTAGCTCTCAGGTGCAAGGAGCTAGACCCTAACCTGATTGATTGTAAAAGATTATTGATCCAGAAGTCAAGAATCATTCACTGAATGCCATCTTAGGGAATGATAAATCTCTAAATGAAATTATGCCACCTGCAGTTTTCCCTTTACCTTTTCCTCACAGGTTTGCCTAGAGGTGAGGAAACTGGGATCCCTCCCTGGTTCTTGCTGAAAGGAGACACCTAGATGTGTTCGAAATGATCAGCAAGGCAGAGCCAGGACCTATAGGTGGCATAATCAGAAATGTTTACCAAGCGATTAACATGTGCCAACTACTTGCTGGTAGCTGGGTACCAGCTCTATAGAGATGAATAAAATGGTCAAAAACAGCAGTGAGATATCCTTTTTCTCTGATAGTATTTGCAAAATTTAAAAGGCTGACAGCAGCAAGTGTTGGTAAAGATATAGGGAAATGACAACTCTTGAACAATGCTGATGGGCATCAACATTGGTACAGCTACAAATTCCCATACCCTACAATCCAGCAGTTCTACTCCTAGGTCTCTTTATTAAAGTAACACTTACACACATACACCAAGAGATATGTAATAAAGCATATTTGTTTTGACTTTTTGTACTAGCAAAGTCTTGGAAACAACGTAACTGTTCATCAACAGGGGAATGGTTAAATAAAATGGGGGTACATCTAAATAGTGGATTATTATACAGCAATTAAAACGAATTAACCAGATATATGCATCAACATGGATATATTTCAAAACCATTTTGGAATGAAAGAAGGAAATGACAGAATGATGCACACAGCCACATGACATTTGGAATACGATGTTCAAGCCAATACTGTATATTTTATATGGATACAGGTATGTCTCTAAATGTATAAAAAAGACTGGAAGGATACATATCAAACTCATGTTAATATTTGGTTGCCTTTGGAAAGGCAGGGAGGGAATAGAGCTCTGGAAGTGGAGGTCAAGTGGACATTTGGCTTTACCTATAATATTTTATTCTGAAACAGTGGACCATATTCTCATAAATTATTTTTTAAAGGAAATGGATAGAAAAATATTGGAAGCAAAAGTGCCAAAATGTCAATAACGGTTACTTGTGGATGTTAGAAACATAGATGATTGTTGTATTATTTTTGTACTTTTCTGGATGTTTTAAAATTACCACCAACAACTAGAGAAACAACCACAAAATCCCACTGTCCATGACTTCAAAGAGGTTGCTCTCAAATGGGAGAAGACAGACAGATAAACAAACACATAAACGGGTAGAGTTCAGGGCGCTGAGAGAACAAAGAGGAGAGGCTCCTAACTTACATCTAGGCGTCTAATGAAAGAATCTGTGAGAAGAAGCCAATGATTTAAGCCTTGAATATCAAGCATGAGCTTTCTAAGTCAAGAAGCTGCATCCTGTGACTTTCCAGGCCAAGGAAAGAGTATAAGCAATGGAGTGGAGATAAAAAGTAGCATAGTGTATGAGGAAACTCCAATTGGTTTTGTTTGTCTTGAGTACAAACTGTCAGGTGGGGCGGGGGGTGTGGTTGGAGATGAGGTAATATAGTTACATAAGGTAGGTACTATTATTACTTCTATTTTAGAGAAAGAAAACAGAAGACTTACTGAGAGGGTCAGGTCTGTTATCTGGGCAGCAAAATACTTTTTTGATGGATTACTTGAGATCTAGTTGTGGGGATGAGTTTGCAAAAAGCTAGTGATTCCCAAATGTTGGTAAGCATCAAAGTCACCTGGGGGAGCTTCATAACATATAGGTTCCTGGACTCCAACCTATAGATTCTGATTTAACAGATCTGGGGTGGAACCCAGAAATCTGTAGGCTTAATATTCATCTCCAGGTGATTCTGATGTAGGTGAGCCTGGGATCACACTTTGAATAATCACCACACTATTGCCTTTCTTCCTTGAGAATGTTGGACCACTGGTGTCCATTTTAAGCACAGCCACCTAGGGGCAAGGCAAAGCTCTAACTGCTCATTACAAGAATTGGCCTTATTACCTTGGGACTCTGTTTCACTTAGATAACCAGTCACTGACATAAATGATAAAAGCCCACCTTCAAAAACCATAGAGTGATCCAGGGGCCTTTAGTTTCTCACCTGAAGTCTTCCAGCTCCTAGAACTCATTAGATCCAGAGCTGAGCACTTGGTGTATGCTTAGTATAAACCTTGCTGGGTGGTCAGTTGATTAGGCTCAGTATGACCATAAGTAAGAGCGATAAATCGTAGGTAAGTCATCAGTTTTGAATTTTACAGTAAGTCCCCTACATACGAATGAGTTCTGTTCTGAGAGCGCATTTGTAAGTTCAATCTGTTCGTAAGTCCAACAAAGTTAGCCTAGGTACCCAACTAACACAATCAGCTATATAGTACTGTACTGTAATAGGTTTATAATTCTTTTCACACAAATAATACATAAAAACTGGGACTTCCCTGGTGCAGTGGTTAAGAATCCACCTGCTATATATATGCAATGGAATATTACTCAGCCATAAAAAGAAATGAAATTGAGTTATTTGTAGTGAGGTGGATGGATCTAGAGACTGTCATACAGAGTGAAGTAAGTCAGGAAGAGAAAAACAAATACCGTATGCTAACACATATATATATATGGAATCTAAAAATAAAAAGGTTCTGAAGAACCTAGGGGCAGGACAGGAATAAAGATGCAGACATAGAGAATGGACTTGAGGACACGGGGAGGGAGAAGGGTAAGATGGGACGAAGTGAGAGAGTGGCATGGACATATATACACTACCAAATGTAAAATAGATAGCTAGTGGAAAGCAGCCGCATGGCACAGGGAGATCAGCTCCGTGCTTTGTGACCACCTACAGGGGTGGGGTAGGGAGGGTGGGAGGGAGACGCAAGAGGGAGGAGATATGGGGATATACGTATACATACAGCTGATTCACTTTGTTATACAGCAGCAACTAACACAACATTGTAAAGCAATTACACTCTAATAAAGATGTAAAAAAAAAAAACTCCACCTGCTAATGCAGGGGGCATGGGTTCGATCCCTGGTCTGGGAAGATCCCACATGCCGCAGAGCAACTAAGCCTGTGCGCCAAAACTACTGAGCCTGCGCTCTAGAGCCCGTGTGCCACAACTGCTGAAGCCCACGAACCACAACTACTGAGCCTGCATGCCACAGCTACTGAAGCCCGTGCTCCTAGAGCCCGTGCTCCATAACAAGA